TCACTTTGTTCCACACCTTTCTCCTGTGGCTTGTGTGTGGGAGTGGATTTGAGCCAAAGAAAGTGACGATGAGCTCTGCTAGCCAGGAGAGCTGGTGGGGGCCACCTCCTGCCCCTCTTTGCCCCTAGTCCCTGGCTCAGGAGATGTTGCTGGCATCCCTCTGTGCTGGTTCCACGAGACGTGCAGCTCCCCTGGTTCTCCCCAACTCCTGAACACCGGGCACTGCTTTTCCCTGCTCCGACTGCTCATTAGTGGCTGCCACCCCTCGGCAATTCCAGGCTGCCATTCCAGTGATGTGCTGCCAAGGTTTCAACAAGGGGCTCCCACAAACCTTCCTCCTCCTCCTCCAGCTGCCACCAGCCCTTTTTTATTATTATTTTTTTTAATGTTGGTTTAAAGCTGTTTTCATATTTGTTTTAATTTTCCAGCCAAGGAGGGACACAGCACCTTGGGGCAAACATTCCTGACTGCCCAAATTTTGCCGCAGGGAGGCAGAACCTACCAGAGCAATTCTGAGCATCCCAGCAGCAAAATGCTTCACTTTGCAGCATTCCCTTCTCCTCCCTGTGGTGAGCACAGCCCTACAAGACCGATTTTAGCTCGGCTACAACTTGAAATGTTGAATAATTGGCTCTTTCTAGGTGCTTTGGACCCCAAAGGACAAGTTTTCCTATGGAAAGTTGTCGAGCCCCCAGGTAGAAGCCATTGAATTCCTCTCCTTGGCGAGCACCCCCCTCTTCTTGAGGGGTTGTTTCTGTTCAAAGCCGAGTTGGATGGGGTTTGGAGCAACCTGGAATAGTGGAAACTGTCACTGCCCATGGCAGGGGGTGGAGTGAGATGGGCTTTAAGGTCCCTTCCCACCCAAACCATTCTGGGATTCTATGGGCACCAATAACCCTTTCTGCAGCTGTGTAAGGGAAAAAAAAAATATTTAAAGCAAAACTACAGAGTCATTTCTGACAATATATGAGAGAAGCACTCACAGCTGGAGCTTTCTGTCCTGTCCCCTGCCTTGAGGCCATGCTCCATCCTGCTCCAATAGCTGGGAGCAGATCCAGGCAGGAAGGACCAGGGCTCTCCCCTTGGCATCATCTCTTTAGGATCCTCTGTTTCGCCCAGAGAGCGAGGTGTCAGCAAACCATGGGCCTTCCTCAGTGATGCACGAGAGGCTCTGGAGGGGGAGAAACAGCCTCAGGGAGGGGAGAAAAGGCTTCAGTCTCCATTTCCTCATGCCACATACCCATCAAACTGCTCCTGATAACATACTGCAGGACACGGGGAGGACGTTTCGCCTCCAACCAGCCACGGGCAGATAAATCCCCCAAGCTCTGGAAAGGCAGGGCTGACTCAGAGGCAGGCTGGGGAAGGGTCCGAGGGGGCCCCTGTGGCTCAGGAATGAACCCTGAGCCAGGGATGTGTTTTGAAATGGTTTCCCAGCTGTAAGATGCACATAATTGTGGCTTTCCCTTCGTCTGGGAGACTTCAAGAGCAGAGGGTTGATAAGGGTTCCTAGCAGCAGAGGCAGCACAGCCCGAGCCAGGGGATCTGGTTTCAGTCTGTCCCTACCCACAGCATGAGATCTGATTTTGGCCCTCTTGCACGGACACAATTATCTGAATTCCCTTCTCTGCTGCTTCGTCCCCTCTGGAGCCTTGCAGCCCGGCCCTGCTGTCTTTTCCAGGGCTCCCTCCTTTCCTGGCTCATGGAAATCAAGGGATTTCTGACGGGTTTATCCTTTCCTGGTAACTCCCCCAAAAAATCCAGGGGATTCTGCTGTTTTAAGGTGTGAGGGTTTTTTTGTTCTTTTTTTTCTTTTTGTACCATCCAAATCACAAAAAGGTTTTACATTTAAACAAGGACAGCTTGAATTAAAACAGTTTATATTTAAATTAAACAAGCTTAAGTTTAAACAAATTTGAGTGATTTATATTTAAACAAGGCCAGATTGGACGGGGCTCTGAGCGACCTGGTCTGATGGAAGGTGTCCCTGCCCACGGAATGGGAAGAGCTTTAAGGTCCCTTCCAGCCCAAACCACTCTGTGAAGTGGCTACCATCAATTTTGGCTGCAGGGACAGCTGAAAACTCTATGAAATAATTTGGGAACATCCCTTCAGCAGTGATCCTCCCAGTCATGAGGATGCCATCAGCAATTTTGGAGCACTGGCTGCTTCCCACTCTCCCCATACCCTGAAACAGCTGGGCTTTTTTTTTTTCCCCAGAAAACAAAAACAATGGCAAGAAGGAGGAATTACAATTGGGCATGGAAAATGTTGAGCTCAAGCACCAAAAGTTTTGGGAGGTTTTTGAGCAGATTACACCCCACAGTACACCTGGAGGAAAAGTGCCCAAACCTGACTATGGATATTTCTTTTGATCCATGCCACAGGGATTTTTAGAGGAATTATTCCTCAAACACCTGGGAATGATGGTGCCTGAGCTCAGGAAAGGGATTTTAGTGATTTTCTAAAGTTAGGAGCATCGTCTTTTGTGCTGTAACTCAACATTGCTTAAAGCTATGTCCTTAGGCAGGACTATTCCAGAATAGTTTTTTACATTAAAAAGAGGAGAGATTCAGTGAGGAAGAAAATTCCTCACTCTGGGAGGGTGAGCAGGCCCTGGCACAGGGTGTCCAGAGAAGCTGTGGGTGCCCCTGGGCCTCTGGAAACATTTAAGGATGGGGCTTGGAGCAAGCTGGGATAGTGGAAGGTGTCCCTGCCCATGGCAGGGGTGGAACAGGATGAACTTTATGATCCCTCCCAACCCAAACCATTCTGGGATTCTGTGAATGCCACGTTTTCCTCACCTTGACGTGTTTGCTCTGTCCCATCTTGCTCAGGCTTTACCTCCAAGAAGCATCAACTCCATATGGTATTTCTCCTTCTCCACTCACCCTAAAATGTGCCTGGGATGTAGGATGAGAAAACAGAGAAGGCCCTGGGGACAGGGCTTTTTTCTACACCCTTAACTTTAAAAAAAGGTGGAAAAGCTACCATTTAAAATCAAAACAAAATAGCAAAACCTGCCAAAACCAAAAAGAAAAAAAAAATCAAACTCCAACAGTTTTCCAGCATTTCACATTTCATTTACACTCTCAGCCATGTCATTGAAATTATTTCAATCCTTTTGTAACCAAACCCACCCCAATCCTATATAAGCAAAAGCCTGGGGGACTTGTTGCAAAATTTCCTGCAACCAGGGCCATGCTCTTGCTGCCACTTTCCATCAGGCCAGCAGCTCTCTGCTCCTGTGATATCCACAGGGAACATTCCTGGTGGGGCTGGGAAATGCTTTTGAAGCAGGGAAAGATGGATCAGAGAGGCCTGAGAGAGAGGAAGCTGCGCTGGGTCTGCACCGCGGCCGTGCATCACTGTGTTCTGTGCTAAGGCCAGAGAAACGCTTGGGAATCCCCGAGAAATCCCAGGAGAAAGCAGTTCCCATCCCTGGAAGTGTGCAAGGCCAGCTTGGATGGCCCACAGAGGTTTTAGGGGCATTCTACCTCTTCCTCAGCCCTTTCTTCCCCCTGCAATACCCGAGCTGACAGGACCACAAGCTGGATTTGGAGCCTGATTCCAGAGTGTAATTTCACAGAATCACAGCACGGTTTGGATTGAAAGGCACCTCAGAAAAGCCAATCCAGTTGCATGGAATTAGCATGAGATGGAGTGTGGCAAGGCCATCCCAGAGCTCTGGAAAATCCACGATCCTACCACAGGGTAGGCCATCACCATAAGAGGGAAGAAAATCAGCCTGTTAGCATGGAACTGCTGTGAAATTCCCAGCTCTCCAGCTGGAGCTGGAAACCAGAGAGAACCAGTGGGAAGGAGAAGCCTCAGGGCAGCAGCAGCCAGAGCAGGGGGTCTCAGCCAGGGTTAAAGGCATCAGCTCTGCTGTGCTGAGCTCTCCACTCTTGGGTGGGATTTTAAAAAAATCCCTGGAACTAGACCAGCTTTTTATTTGGTTTTTACCTCCTTTTCATGTCAGCCGCATTCAGAGAAGAGCAGGGCACAGCAAAACCTCCTGTGACCATCCTCCACCCCTTTCTTCTGCTGGCTGGAAAAAAATTTTTAAAAAAAGAAAAAAATCAGCAATTTTCTCCGTGGTATCTTCCTGTTCCACATGGATTTTATTTTCCTTTCCTGAAGCCCTCCCTGGATGGGGAAAGGGTCAGCCTGTCATCTGTCAGACGTGGGCATCCCCAAACCACCGGGAGAGGTGGAGCTTTCCTAAGTGGTCCTGGGCAGCCTGACAAGTCCCTGAGCTGGTCTGCAGAATGTGGTTGTAATTAGATAATTAATAACTTGGAAAGGGAAAGGAAAGGAAATCAGCTAAATGGAAGCTTTCCTCAGTGGGAGGAAATAATTATATCTGCTTTTTGATATCTGAGCTGAGGTGGCTTTGCTGAGGGCAGGAGCAGCACCTTGGCCGCAAAGTCATCCCTGCCCCGAGCAGGACGGGGCGTCCCGTGGGCTGTGCTGGGTCATGGAGCTTGTCCCACAGAGTTCACCCTTTTCCTGGAAGTGTTCCATGCCAGGCTGGAGCAGCCTGGGATAGTGGAAGGTGTCCCTGCCCATAGCAGGGGGTGGAATGGGATGAGCTTTAAGATCCTTTCCAACACAAGCCATTCCAGGATTCAGTTTTGAGGGAGACATTGCTGCTGCCTATGGATTCACCATTTTAAACTCCAGTGCAAACCAGGCTGTGACATTACCAGACTCCAAATTTAGGCTGTCTATCCAAAAGTCTAAGGAACTGTGCTTCCACTTGCTCCTGGCACACTGGATCTTGCCCAGTGCCTGGATTAAATCCACACTGCTGGAACCAGGGTCAGGATTCAACACATGGCACTGAACCATGTGTTCATATATTGAACACATATATGTGTTCAATAACCTGGATTTGGAGGGAAAACGCCCTTCCCACACAACCTATCTCACAAAGATATTCTGCATTCGGTGTATTTATTTTTTTTCTCATTTCTTTTTGGTTTTTCCTTCTCCAGACTGTCCAGTGTCTGCGACTGAAGTGGAATTGGGATATATCCAAGTTTGTAGCTTCTGAAACCTTAAAAACCTCAAGAAAACTGGTCCAAAAGACCCCTCTTGACCTCCCTCGCTCTGAACTCTTGCGGAGCATTTTAGACTGAGCAGCAAAACAGCACCGAAGAGAAGGGGCTGAGACTTTGCAACATCTCTTCCCAGAACGACTGACCAAAGAGAGAAAGAGAAGCAACATTCCTGGTTGTTCATTGTTGTTGGGATTTTTTGTCTGTGTGTTTGGTGTTTTATGGCTAATTTTTTATTTTATTTTTTTTTTATTTTTTTTCTGGAAACTATCTTAATTCAGGAACACGTTTATGAGGCATCTTTGGGTTTGACTTTTACTACCCCTTAACTGCAATCTTCTTTTTTATTTTGTTTTTTTTTTAAATTCCAAACCCCATTTCTTGTACAGCAAAACTGGACCAAGGCTCTCAGCAAAAAAAAAGGAAAGGAAGGAAAAAAATCCCACCATGCCCCTAGCTCCCTCCATGATTTGTTTCAAGTACAGCCTGGATTACAGACTGCCCTCCACACTCTGCCATCCTTCCCTTATTGCTCCATGATTTGCTACCGCTCATCCCCTTCCCCCTTTTTTTATTTTTTTTTTAATTTTTTTTTTATATTTTTTTGTTTTGTTTTCATTTTCTGTTCCAGTGTATATGTTGCTTATTTGTTTTATTTATTGAGATATTTTTAACGAGCTAAGAGACTGCAATGTCGCTGTGTATACTGCTTCTCTTGCCAGTAAAAATAAAGATGTCATGCAGCTACCGGGGTTTGGGATTTATGTTCTTGACTCCAGCAGAGACTGAGACTCTTCCTTGCACCCCACAATGTTGTGAAATTTGGCTAAAAACCCTTCCACAGGGAGTGGGGTGATGGGGTGCAGAGGGTGTGAGCATCACTTTGTCCGGGCTGATGTCTGCGGGGTGATTTGGCTTGGAATGGACCTTAGAACCCAACACCTTCCACCAGACCAGGATCTTGAAACATGGGGCTAAATTATCCCAAGTGACCTTTGTCTCCCCATCNCATTGAAATTATTTCAATCCTTTTGTAACCAAACCCACCCCAATCCTATATAAGCAAAAGCCTGGGGGACTTGTTGCAAAATTTCCTGCAACCAGGGCCATGCTCTTGCTGCCACTTTCCATCAGGCCAGCAGCTCTCTGCTCCTGTGATATCCACAGGGAACATTCCTGGTGGGGCTGGGAAATGCTTTTGAAGCAGGGAAAGATGGATCAGAGAGGCCTGAGAGAGAGGAAGCTGCGCTGGGTCTGCACCGCGGCCGTGCATCACTGTGTTCTGTGCTAAGGCCAGAGAAACGCTTGGGAATCCCCGAGAAATCCCAGGAGAAAGCAGTTCCCATCCCTGGAAGTGTGCAAGGCCAGCTTGGATGGCCCACAGAGGTTTTAGGGGCATTCTACCTCTTCCTCAGCCCTTTCTTCCCCCTGCAATACCCGAGCTGACAGGACCACAAGCTGGATTTGGAGCCTGATTCCAGAGTGTAATTTCACAGAATCACAGCACGGTTTGGATTGAAAGGCACCTCAGAAAAGCCAATCCAGTTGCATGGAATTAGCATGAGATGGAGTGTGGCAAGGCCATCCCAGAGCTCTGGAAAATCCACGATCCTACCACAGGGTAGGCCATCACCATAAGAGGGAAGAAAATCAGCCTGTTAGCATGGAACTGCTGTGAAATTCCCAGCTCTCCAGCTGGAGCTGGAAACCAGAGAGAACCAGTGGGAAGGAGAAGCCTCAGGGCAGCAGCAGCCAGAGCAGGGGGTCTCAGCCAGGGTTAAAGGCATCAGCTCTGCCCTGGGAGCAGCTTTGTGCTGAGCTCTCCACTCTTGGGTGGGATTTTAAAAAAATCCCTGGAACTAGACCAGCTTTTTATTTGGTTTTTACCTCCTTTTCATGTCAGCCGCATTCAGAGAAGAGCAGGGCACAGCAAAACCTCCTGTGACCATCCTCCACCCCTTTCTTCTGCTGGCTGGAAAAAAATTTTTAAAAAAAGAAAAAAATCAGCAATTTTCTCCGTGGTATCTTCCTGTTCCACATGGATTTTATTTTCCTTTCCTGAAGCCCTCCCTGGATGGGGAAAGGGTCAGCCTGTCATCTGTCAGACGTGGGCATCCCCAAACCACCGGGAGAGGTGGAGCTTTCCTAAGTGGTCCTGGGCAGCCTGACAAGTCCCTGAGCTGGTCTGCAGAATGTGGTTGTAATTAGATAATTAATAACTTGGAAAGGGAAAGGAAAGGAAATCAGCTAAATGGAAGCTTTCCTCAGTGGGAGGAAATAATTATATCTGCTTTTTGATATCTGAGCTGAGGTGGCTTTGCTGAGGGCAGGAGCAGCACCTTGGCCGCAAAGTCAAGGGGCGTCTCGTGGGCTGTGCTGGGTCATGGAGCTTGTCCCACAGAGTTCACCCTTTTCCTGGAAGTGTTCCATGCCAGGCTGGAGCAGCCTGGGATAGTGGAAGGTGTCCCTGCCCATGGCAGGGGGTGGAATGGGATGAGCTTTAAGATCCTTTCCAACACAAGCCATTCCAGGATTCAGTTTTGAGGGAGACATTGCTGCTGCCTATGGATTCACCATTTTAAACTCCTGTGCAAACCAGGCTGTGACATTACCAGACTCCACATTTAGGCTGTCTATCCAAAAGTCTAAGGAATTGTGCTTCCACTTGCTCCTGGCACACTGGATCTTGCCCAGTGCCTGGATTAAATCCACACTGCTGGAACCAGGGTCAGGATTCAACACATGGCACTGAACCATGTGTTCATATATTGAACACATATATGTGTTCAATAACCTGGATTTGGAGGGAAAACGCCCTTCCCACACAACCTATCTCACAAAGATATTCTGCATTTGGTGTATTTATTTTTTTTCTTTTTTTGGTTTTTCCTTCTCCAGACTGTCCAGTGTCTGCGACTGAAGTGGAATTGGGATATATCCAAGTTTGTAGCTTCTGAAACCTTAAAAACCTCAAGAAAACTGGTCCAAAAGACCCCTCTTGACCTCCCTCGCTCTGAACTCTTGCGGAGCATTTTAGACTGAGCAGCAAAACAGCACCGAAGAGAAGGGGCTGAGACTTTGCAACATCTCTTCCCAGAACGACTGACCAAAGAGAGAAAGAGAAGCAACATTCCTGGTTGTTCATTGTTGTTGGGATTTTTTGTCTGTGTGTTTGGTGTTTTATGGCTAATTTTTTATTTTATTTTTTTTTTATTTTTTTTCTGGAAACTATCTTAATTCAGGAACACGTTTATGAGGCATCTTTGGGTTTGACTTTTACTACCCCTTAACTGCAATCTTCTTTTTTATTTTGTTTTTTTTTTAAATTCCAAACCCCATTTCTTGTACAGCAAAACTGGACCAAGGCTCTCAGCAAAAAAAAAGGAAAGGAAGGAAAAAAATCCCACCATGCCCCTAGCTCCCTCCATGATTTGTTTCAAGTACAGCCTGGATTACAGACTGCCCTCCACACTCTGCCATCCTTCCCTTATTGCTCCATGATTTGCTACCGCTCATCCCCTTCCCCCTTTTTTTATTTTTTTTTTAATTTTTTTTTTATATTTTTTTGTTTTGTTTTCATTTTCTGTTCCAGTGTATATGTTGCTTATTTGTTTTATTTATTGAGATATTTTTAACGAGCTAAGAGACTGCAATGTCGCTGTGTATACTGCTTCTCTTGCCAGTAAAAATAAAGATGTCATGCAGCTACCGGGGTTTGGGATTTATGTTCTTGACTCCAGCAGAGACTGAGACTCTTCCTTGCACCCCACAATGTTGTGAAATTTGGCTAAAAACCCTTCCACAGGGAGTGGGGTGATGGGGTGCAGAGGGTGTGAGCATCACTTTGTCCGGGCTGATGTCTGCGGGGTGATTTGGCTTGGAATGGACCTTAGAACCCAACACCTTCCACCAGACCAGGATCTTGAAACATGGGGCTAAATTATCCCAAGTGACCTTTGTCTCCCCATCAACTATGGGAAGAAGGAAAAAACAAAACAAAACAAAAAAACTCCCTGCTGTGTTGTCTGTTGGGCCATTAAAAAAAAAAAAATAAACCATGTCGTTCCATCCAAAGCAGCTTCGGGAAAAAACATTTTAATCCCCAAATCGCGCCCGTCTCTGTGTGTGCATCAGATGCATTAATTCCCTTATGGGTTCCGAGCCCCAGTGTCAAGTGTTTATTTTAAAACAAGCCTCGGTTGCGTGGAGGAAAATCCATCACATCCATTAGAAGCTCTTACTCAGAAGTAAATGACATCTCAGTCTGGGCTCTGGGCACCAGCAGAGCCAAAAGCACCATTTAAGAAGGTGAATTTAACAGCTGTCAGGCGAGGCAGCACACAGAATCACTTTCCCCCCATCCAAGGAATGCGTGGGGCTTTTTGCTTCAGTTACTGCAATTTTGGGAACCTCTAACAGTGCTCCAGGTTGTGATTTCACCACAAGAAGTGACGTTTTTTCCAAGCATGGGCACCAAAATCCAGCTTTTCCGAGGGCTTGTCAGGTAACTTGTGGTGCTGCTCTGCTGTGCCATGAGGTGCTCAGGAGCAGGAGGACATGGCTGGATTTTCCCAAGGATCTGTGCCATGTGCCTTTCCCGCTGCTGCAGAGGGTCAGGGCTGCTCCCCCCATGCTCCAACACCATGGATTTAAGGAGCTGTCACAGTAGATCAAAGCCTCTGACCTCTGCCTAAAACTCTAAACAAAAAATATCAATGCTCACAAGCACCTCTGGAACCTCTTCCATGGATTCTGGGGCTTAGCCGAGGCTCCTGTGGGTGTATGGCCTTGGAGAGGTAAATTTGGAGCCTGGAATTGGGGCACAACATTTGGTTTTAGGTAGAACAGGGAGTAATTGTCCAAATGGCCAGGACAGAGCTGTGCTGTGGGGTTCGGATGGGTGCATTCAGGTCCTGAGGAGTGAACCAAGGCCATAAAATGCTCTGAAAATGCTTGGGAGCTGAGAACTCTCTGGGTGACAGATTTTTAACAGCAGACACACCTCACCCCATGAACGGGGAGCCAGACAATTCCATTAGCTGCTGGAAAAGACTTTCTGTGTGCTTGGAGTTCATCTGGCCTGAGCTGGGCAGTCGGGAAACTGAGACCCCAAACTGCAGCTGTGTCCTCATGGGCAGCACATGGATATATTTACATTTTCTTTTCCACACACAGGAGTCTTTTAAAATGGCATTTATCACCCCTAATTCCTAAGGGGATCAAAATTGTCCTTCCCAATCCTACCTCTGATGCCACAATGCCCTGTGAGATATTAAGGGATGTCACCAAGGGCAGGGACAGGGTGGCTTGTGCAGAAGAGAATGAAACCAAGAAATCCCTAAAAGCAGCAGGATCAGATGGGTCCCAACAATGGGATTCCTCCTCCATGGCAGCACACATGCCCACATGGAGCCTGGCTAAATATTGGTCCTGGATTGCTTGGTCTCTCTGCACATGAAAGGCTACAAAAAAATCCTCCACAAACCAGTAAAAACTATTCCAGCAAACCACAAAGCGAAATACTCTCTGGAAGGAAGCCAAGCACTGAGGTAAGGATGTAAAATGCACTGATTTGGGGTTGCTTTTTTTAAAAAATAATTTTTTACTCAATTCCAGCTCAGCTTATCACCTTCAACCCCTCCATTTTTAAAAGAGGGGGGGAAATAGGTTTTTTGCATTTTCAGCCAAAATCTGCATGAAAAAATAATAAGTAGAGAAAAACCCCAAACAAATCCACCCCCCAAGTC